GTCAACACAGGTGATTTTACTATGGACAGACTTCCAAATTCCCTAAGGTAAAGAGCAGGTACACTTTCATTTGTCTGACCAAACAAAATTTTTAGGTGTATACAAGTTTCTGTTTCTCTTCCTTCTCTTTATTCTGATTGCTCATTTTTATACTGATAAGTTTAAACAACTTTGGCACCAACAGCCATTATTTAGCTATACATATTGGCTTTGCAACTCAGTAACCTACTCCATATGTATTTATAATCTCTACTGAAAGGGAAGGTGAAAAGAAGACTGTTCCAGCAAGCTAAGGGGAAATTCTTTTAAGTCTTCTCTTTACCATCTATGCCATCCATGTCTCCATACTACCACCTTTTTGTTACACGTATCTATTTATATTTACATCTTTGCATTTATTACTCACTCTAAATTCTTATGAAATACCACAAGTGAATCCAAAATAAAAAGACCTATATTCATTTAAAATCAAATCCACCAGTTCTACATTGTTGCTCATTGTTCTTCTTCCAAAGGCAGGTATATAATTATAGCTACTTTGGTGCATGAAATGGTACAGAGATTTCTATGGTAATTACTCATTTTAATTGAAAATTGTGTAGGGAAAAACACATTTCATGTGAAGCATGACATTTGCATTTCTTTCTAAAGAATCTAAACTTGTTCAGAGTGACCTGTAAACTCATATTTTCCAGGTAGACAAATCTTTAAAATTCTGTCCAAGGGGTACGGTGGGAAACTGAGAACAGTTGCAGGAATTTGCTGAGCTCATTAAAAAAATAAGACCATTAAACATTTACAATGGATACACAACATCCTTGAAGCTACAAGTTAGACAAAGCAGAAAAAAATACGTACAAGAAAGATCAACAAAGAGACAGCATGCTGAATAAGAGGGGCCATCACTGACACCAAATCCACAAGATCAAACATTTGTATTTCCAAGTACTTTAGCTAGCATAAGTTGAAATAATACATTTAATACATTTTCTCAGACTTGGGGAGAAGCTACTGTTTTATCTTGCTTTGCTTAAAAAATAAAGTTATAACTTCTTTTCCTATAGCAGATATGATACATGTGTTCTTTTTCAGGATATCCACACCAATTTTTGTCAGGAGGAACACATTTAAATCCTTAAAAATATTTAAATGAAGAGAAAATCTGTGAAACTGAATGAGTTTGCACAATTCTTTCTGCTGCTGGACATCCATTTTCTTATATTCCAGTATCATGTTCATCTGAGCAAAAGAGTTTACACAGTTTTTTTTTTTTTTTTTTTTTTTTTTTTTTTTTTTTTTTTTTTTTTGTTAGGGTAATCTTCAGTATAATAATTAATATGAGAAGCAAACTAGGAGTTGGGGAAAAAAAGGCCTTTTAATTGTTGCTCTGGCCTAACATCACTTTTCCTAAGACGTGTCCTAGAAAAGCAACAAAAGCAGAAGATAAAGAAAACATTGCGTTTCTCCTCCCTACAGACTGCTCAATTCCCATCACCACAATGAGTCAAGCACATTTTAAGCCTGTACTTAGAACAAATCACATACTTCACGTGGTGAGGACCAGGAAATAACCACTGAATCAGTTTCATATGTAGTATATTTTCTGAAAGAAGACTCTACTCATAATTTATTATTATTATTTCAAGGTTGCTTAGGCTAAGGGAGAAAATGTCTCAAGTTACATATAGTCTCTGACTCTTTCATAAATATTAAATAAGTATTAAATTGCTGAAAAGGTAGGGGAGGAGGTGTTTCTTTCCTATAAAACATCCTCCTAACCAAAAAAAATCTGTGCTTTAAAACATGCCTGCATGGCAGTACAAGAGGCAAAAGAATAAGTTAGGATGTAGCTTTTGGCATTAGTGTACTTGGCACTTCCATGTGTAGAACATGTAAAACAGGAAAACAGGAAAAGAAAGAATACGACTTCTAACTTTGAAGTCAATGATTGCATCACAGTTCAGAACACAAAATTACACGATGATGACTTCAACAGTATGTGTAATCTGTTTTTAATAAAGTGGAGACTAACAGTAAATCCCTTGTCAAAAGGCACAGGGACTTGGAAGCAAACTTTCCCTCTCTCTAAACAGAGGACTGCTGGCATACAGTTAGCTTTATTTTCATCAGAAAATGTTTTGCAAGATAGGGAAAGCAATTTGTACGACAAAGAAGTATGAATGTCCCATCAAAAACAATCTAGCACTGGAGAGCTTTTCACTACAATTTCCTCTATTTTTGGAACCTATTTTGCCATGTCTTGACAGCTGTTAACTTCCTCTTCTACTGCTGTAGTTGGGACTTCCTTTTGAAGTCCTTCCTTTACCTGAATTCCTGCACTGTACTACAAGATTCACAATTGTTAAAGTCCAGAGCAATCCAAATAATTTTAATCTGATTTATTTTATGCTTTCTTGTAAGAAAACAACTTATGCTTTCTCAAAAGAAAATAACTTATTAGAAGGTTGTAAAATTAAAGGTATGTGATTCTGATTTTGTTCAGACTATAGTAATATCTCTAATGGATATACATGGAGCTCCTCTAATGTTCTTCTTAGGTTTTCTATACAGAACTTAACCCAGCATCCTCAGGCTCCTACTTAAAAGTTTTCATGAATTTTCAGCTTGAGAAACACAGCAATTAAATAGCAGTTCTCTTAGTGCTGAAGGGAGAAGTAAGACCTTTAGTTTTGGTTAACCCTAGGAGACAGGTTTGAAAAGACTCTAGCTGAGGCACTGCTTTCAATAAATTAAATGTAATGACTGGATCTAACAGAAAGCTGCTTTTTATAGCCAGTGTATGCCTGACTGAGACAAATAGATGAAGCAAAAAAGAACAAGAAAGTTTTTACAGTTGCATTTGCCATCATTTACTGACAAAATCAAGGTTTTAGAGCTGTAAATATTTCTCATAATCTTGTATCAATAAAGCAAGTATCACTATGTGAAGGAAATATCTTTCTTATACGCAAAGAACAGATACAAATGCACACTCAATAAAAACACCAATGAAAAGTTCAATTCCCATTTTCAGAAATGACAGGAAGTTTTCTTTATGAAACTTGGATGTACTTCTCAGTGTTCTATGTATATCCAAGTTTGGAGAAGTCACATCAAGATTTCAAAGCTTTTCCTATGTATGAAGAACTAAACAACTGCTATTGAAGGACCTAGACTTGATCATGTTAGACCTTCTCCCATCTCATAGATGTTCAGCAGACCCTCTACAAACAAATGATTTGAATCCTAGCATATTCCTCAACATCTTGAGACAAGTTCATTATACAGTACAGTCTTTTAGATTTACACACTTCAGCTCCTCACATTTCCAGTGGGCTACACAGATCATGACTGTGTACTTAATATTACTGCTCGCCATTCAAATTCTGCTGCTTTAATTCATTGTATTAAAAAGTAACACAAACTTCAATTATTCTTTGTATAATTAGAGATCTAGCTAAAGTATACAGAAAATTAAATTTGTATCAAAATGCCTACACAGTTAAAACTAAACTATTTGCATTTCTCTTCCATCTTTCTCCACATCCTTTAAAATGCTGCTTAGTTATAAAAGATATAGATTTTACAAGTGTTGGTGTGCTCTACCAATAAACAAGTTCTCTCAGTTCTTAGTTTTGCAGGCATTGTTAACCAATTCCAAATCACTAACAATTTAAGAAAAAATAAAGTTCTCAATTTAAGTAAAGATTATAGGATTAGACTTATGGCACTCAAGTTCGCACCTTATAAGCCTTTCACCTTCAAGTCTACATTCAAAGGGTACTTATGATTTCAAACAAATTGCAAATCAAATGATTACACGCTACAGGAAATTAGATAAAAGAGAAAGGAACCACTTCAACACTGTAAAGAGATTCTATTCAGCTATTATATTAATAGCAAAAATCCATATTTTGATTGCAGCTTCTGCAGGTATAAAATGACAGGTTTTAGACTCTGCTTTCATTCAAACACATAGATCCACACAGCATTTTAAGTCCTGCAGTGTGTTGTAAAGTGTTGCAATCATTTAGCAAGGCATTTGGACAGCTTTTCTTTCACTTTAAACAGATAACTAACTGCACTTCTCATGGCATGTTCAAGAATACATAGCACCTTTCAGAACAAACTCAAGGAGAGAATAAAGTATAAAATACTGTTCAACTGTTGGATGTCCATATCACTAAGATTTACACAAAAATTTTTGCATTTTTGAAGCCAAGTGATGCTTCTATTACTTGTAATTTTTGTTTAAATATCTTCATGGTATCTAATGTTATCTTTAGGTTGACATTCTTTTATGTAAAATAGAATGCTTCACATTTTCAGGTAAGGACAAATGTCTTGGAAATATATTGCATTACAGTAATAATATCCTTCTTTTTCTAAGGTATAAACACTTTCTGGTTCTTTTTCTTAAGTTAACTAAGATTGAAATATTGTGCTTGTCATATTTGGAAAAGAGTACACGGAATAAAAATAAATTTTGATAACCTTTTACAGTAAGAATGTGTGTCACAGCAATTGCATACTGCACTAACAACAAAACGAAGTACATCTGTACTCCAGTACACCTGAATCAGGGGATTTTATGTATACATAGGTATGCATGCAAATATATACATGAAGACAAAACAATAAAATCAAGTTAAAGTTAAAATTCTTCCCTTGCCAGTCTTATCATTCATAAATACTCTTCAAAGATATTTTGTAACAAAGTTTTCTAAATCAGCTTGCACTAAGAATTTCATATATTATCTTCCCTTAATAACAGCATAATATTTTGTACAAAAGGAAGAAATACAATGAAACATGTTTACCCATGAGAAAAACAGATTAAATAACATATTATTTCATAATTACAGCTGAAAGCACATATTCCTAGAACATATTCCTATTCTTTCAACATTACATATTCCTGTTCTTACAACATTACATTACAATTGCAATACTGTCTTAGAAAAAATGCTGCAGAACCATGAGTTCCGGAAATAATTTACCTTTCTTGTCGTCGAAGTACAATGTCTGTTGAGCTGGATTTGACCACTGGAGGGAGGTGTTATCGTTTTGATCGACCCTGCAGGTCAAATTTGCCGTTCCCCCTTCAACAACTGTGACATTCTGTGTAAGTGGAAACTGCCCTTGGCTACCTGAGGAGGGATAGGAGGGAAGCAGAAGGGAAGAAAAGGAGGAAAAAAAAAGATTTCAGTTGTAGAACTGAATTTATTGCAACAGCTACACACAGGTGACTGCATAACTATATTCATCAAGAAGTATAATACAAAAAACTGGAGAAAAAAATAGATAATATATTCTCTGCAGAAATGAAACAGAAAAATGAATTTAAGAAATACTGATATTATTTTTCTTTTTTTCCTGTATGTGATATGATTTAGCTTCAAAGAAGTAGCCTGCAATCTTCATTTTCTAAGACACACATACAAATCCAGATGTCCATGATATGAATCCACATAGGGCTCACATATTGCAGACGCATACAGCTGTCTCAGTAGAGATAATACTGTTAAAATGCTCCTGAAAACACCACTAAAAACATAATGTAAAATCAACATACCTTTTTTTAAACAGACAGGGTAGCCTAGATTCCCTGTTTCATTTTATGATTTTTGAAGAACTCTTGGGATGATGTTTTTTCTGTCAAGTTTGGAATATTGTTGGATAAAAACATAGTGTGAATATAATACCAGATACATCCTCTGCTGAGAGAATATAACCTGATCATATATGAAAATGGAAGCAATGATGTAGTAGTTCTCTTTCACATCTGCGAGTCTATCCCAAAGCATTACAAATCACATTAAGTGTTTGCTGAGAAGTCACTGGGAAAATTTCCAAATACCTCTATACAATATAGGAACAGTATCAGCCAAGTTCTTGAATCACAAGCATTTTCAATGGCATAGTTAGACTGAAGTGTTGCTTTGTGTATTGCAAAAATAGCACCCCTTGCCAAACAGTACATTCTGACAAGAATAGCACAAGGGAGCACAGTAAAAATGTGGGACATCTTCTTTATTCTTTTTCATAGGGATGGGGAAAGAAAAGAAAATTATCAGAGAGGTATGCTTAATCAGTGCAAGGATACAATGAAAAAAATAGACAGTCCAATAGACTAAATCAAATACATGCTTCTTTCTTTTATACAGGACCTATTAATACAAGACATGCTCATGTTAGCTAAGTATGCTAGAATAAGAAATATTACAAGATCGGCACTCAAGTGGAATGCATCAGAAGTGAAAAATCCCCTTGCCGTCCTAGAGAAGTGAATATAAACATAAGTATGTTGAAAAAACTATTGTACCTATTGTATAATAGGTACAATAACACATAAAACTATTGTCTAGTATACAGATTTTCAGATCATTTTACAGATTTTTCAGACCATAGTAAGGAATTACTAAATAAGGGATTAACTAAACTTCTACTTGACCTGCTGATGTTGCAATAAATAAATAAATAAATAAATAAAAATGCAGCTCTAGTAAGGTTTTGATAACTGTTCATTTTCCTATACAAAATAATTTTGTTGGCCTTATACCTGGTGTGTAAGTACCGACACCATAAAAGCTCGGAGTATTCTGATAATCCAACACCCTTTATAAGTAGTTTCTTAAAAAAAAAAAAAACAACAAACTCTTCTACTACTGAAGTGCTTATAATCTAAATAAATAAACAAGATAAATCATCAGCAGTGCTAAGAAAGGGAATTTGAATCTCAAGGCCAGCCTTGGCTGCAGCAACCATGAAATGGAGGATTTCAAGATCCTTAGACCAGTGAGGATGACATACAGCAAGCTCACTACCCTAGACTTCAGGAGAGCTGACTTCAGCCTCTTCAGGGATCTGCTTGATAGTGTTAAATGAGATAAAGTCCTTGAGGGAAAAATGGTCCAAGAAGGCTGAGTAATATTCATGGGTCATCTCCTCTAAGCTCAAGAGCAATGCATCCCAACAAAGAGGAAGTTATGCAAAAACACTGTAAGACCTGTATCAATGAACAAGGAGCTTCTAAACAAACTGAAATACAAAAAGAAAGCCTACAGAGTTTGGAAGCAAGGACAGGTAGCCTGGGAGCAATACAGAGAAATAGTCTGAGCAGCCTGTGATCAGGTTAGAAAAGCTAAAGCCCTGATTGATAGAATAAAATCTGATCAGAGACATCAAGGGCAACAAAAAAAGGCTTCTGTAAGTACATCAATGAAAAAAGGAAAAAGTGGGCCCTCTCTGTGAGACCTGGTTAGTTGGGATATGAAGAAAGCTGAGATTTTGAAGGATTTTTTGCCTGTCTTCACCACTAAGTGTCCTAGCCACATCACCCAAGTTGCAGATGGCAAAATCTGGGACTGGGACAATGAAGAACTGTCCACTACAGAAGATCAGGTTCAAGGCCAAGAAACCTGAAGGCGCATATGTTTGTGAGACCTGATGAGATGAATCCAGTCTGTCTCATTTCAGTAGATCCTCCTGGAAACGATGCTAGGAGAATACTGGTGAAAGCCAATATAGTTTCACTAAAGGCAAATTGTTCCTGACAAGTCTGGTGATGTTCTATGACGAGCTTACAACATTGGTGGATAAGGGAAGAGTAATTGACATCATCTACTTGGCCTTGTAGAAAGCATTTCACCCTGTCCCACAAAACATCCTTATCTGTAAACTAGAGAAACATGGACTTGATGGATGGACTACTTGATGGATAGGGAATTAGCTGGATGGTCACACATAAAGCACTGAGCTCAACAGCTCGAAGTCCAGGTGAAGACCAGTAACAGAGAGTATTGGAACAGATGCTATTTTATATCTTCATTGATGACATGGATGACTGGATTAAGTGCAACCTCGTCAAATTTCCACACCAAGCTGCTGGAGGGAATGGAAGCCTTTCAGAGGGACCTATACAGAGGTGGGTCTTCATGTACCTCATGAAGTTCAACAAGATCAAGTGTAAAGTCCTGCCCTGGAGTTGGGGCAATCCCAGGCACAAATATAGGCTGGGTAATGAGTGGATTGAGAGCAGCTCTGAGGACTTGGGGGTGCTGGTTGCAGGAAATCTCACCACGAACCAGTAATCTGCACATGCAGCTCAGAAAGCCATCTGTATCCCAAACTGCTCTAAAAGAAGCTTGTCTAGCTGGTCAAAGGAATTGATTGTCCACATCTACTATGCTCTCATGAGACTCCACCTACCTACGGTACTGAGATTAGCTCTGGGACCTCCAACATAAGAAGGACATTGGATCTGTTGGATCTGTTGAGGAAAGTCTAGAGCAGGGCCATGAGGATGATCAGAGGGCTAAGGTACCTCCGCTACAAAGTCAGGCTGAGAGAGCTGGGATTATTCAAGCTGGAGAAGAGAAGGCTTTGGGGAGACTTTATAGCAACCTTCCAGTATCCATAGGAAAGAAAGAGGAACTTTTTACAAGGACATGAATAGAACAGGACATTAGTACATTATTACAACTTGTGGCCATTTCCCTGGGTCCTGTTTGTTGCCTGGGAGAAGAGGCCAAACCCCTCCTCCTCATAACCTCCCTTCAGGTAGTTATAGAGAGCAATGAGGTCTCCCCCGAGCCTCCTCTTCTCCAGACTGAACAATCCCAGCTCCCTCACACACTCCTCATAAGATTTGTGCTCCAGACCCCTCACCAGTTTTGTTGCCCTTCTCTGGACCGCTCCAGGGTATTTTGTATAAATACCATCTTCCTGTAGATGTCTAAAGTGCAAAATTTACTATTTATTTATGTTCTTGGTAAGAGGGTATTTACTATTAGCAAGACAACAAATGCAGTAAATAAAAATATGAAGTATTGCAAATACCATGTCTATATTAAATACTGCGAAAAATAAATGCGAAAATTCTCATGACATCTTCTGTGTCTGACAGTTCATTAATCAAATGCTTCTTCTTGAAAGCCACACACTGAGAAATGCTTGATGAGTTAAAAAATCATAAACAAGAGTGAAAAAAAAAAAAAAAAAAAAAAAAAAAACAGAAGAGATTTGTCATTTTCTTTCATTTCTTCTCTTTCAACTCCACTGTGTCAAGGAATCTCAAGATATTGCATAAATTGCTTATTGCTTAAATTAGAATTTTAAAAATCCAGAAAAAATGCACACAGCCTGTTATTTCTTCCACTAAATTATAAGATCTTACCAAAGAAATAACCTTCTAAAGTATGAGCTGCAGATAAGAGGCTATGGAGGCTAAAATAGGTTTTGCATATAAAAAGCATTAAACAGAGCCTAGTGCCAATGAAATCTGAATCAGTGACTGTGATTTACATTTGACTATCTTCTGTTCGTATTTTTTAATAAAGAACCAATGTAATGATTCAGAACCCTATTCATATGATTTGGGAAATCTTCCTAGGATTATCCCACATTCTTTTTTGATATTATAGTTCCTACAGTGAACATCTCAACGTATATGCAATCTCTTATTTACTAATTATGGTCATGTCATAGCCTTATTGATCAGAACTGTACTTAGAATGTAAAATGCTGCTTGGCCACTTAAGTGGAAACTGCAGATCCCTGGATCTGAAAGAGGTCTGGAAATTTTTTTTTCCTCTTACCCCTGTATTGAGTGCTGATGTTTTAGAAATTAATCAAAATTAACAGAGCATACAAAAGTCAAAGGAAAGAATTCCCCCTATCCCTTATCAATACAGAAAATGCATATAGTTTGATTGGAAGCCTGCAGTGGAATAAGAGATATAAAGAAAATGAGCCAATAATTTTGGAAATTAGCTTAAGAGGAAGAAAGGAAGACTGTATGCAAGATAGAAAAAGCAAGAGCAAAAGAATGAGTACATATCTTGAACAAGAACAAAACTTCTAGTAAATTATGGAAAACTAAGACAAAAAAATATTTAGATTTACTTTTTTGCTTATACCAGCTTCTCACTAGAGTTACTGAAGGACATCTGAGACAAGAGAAAAGGTTTATAAAAGCCCAGAAGCAGGTAAATAAATGCTATAGAAAGCATGAGGCCATTTAAAATAGAATTAAATGTGGCTTTTATGCCACTGAGCTCTGGTCCTTGTAGGAGAAGTCTCATTTCTGTTAAGAAGGTAGTATGTGCTCACAAAGCACAGAAGAGAAGCTGCCAGCCTTCAGCATGAC